CACTCACGACCTTGCACAGCCCCTGCACGATAGGGCCGGGCCGCGCCTCCTGTCACAGCTGTGTGGGGGGGAAGGAGAGGTAGACTCGTGACACGGCACCCACCAAAACGCCGAACTGAGCTCCTCCAATACCTCAACGGCCCCTCCTTTTAAGCGTAGCAGTCGCTCACCATAAAACAGACGGACAGACATAAAACAGACGGACAGACAGACGGATCCATACATACATACATACATACATGCAATGTAAACATAAATACACACACGCCGTCCCACACCCCATGCATACGTAAATACATGCACACACATACGTACATGCACACATACATACGTACATGCACACATACATACATACATGCACACATACATACATACATACACACATACATACATACATACATACCAACACACATACATACATACATACATACATACATACATAAGGCCTGACTTCTGCTCCCAGTCGACCCAGTCGACCCGGGTTCAAATCCGCCTGCCGGCTCCTCGGGTGTTTGAGGAGTGATGAAATGGGAGGTGGCCCCCCATCATATGGACGGTGTAGGACGTGATAATATCAACTTGCGAGCTGACCAGGAACTAAGTTGATGCGCCGTTGATCCGCTAGATTTGGTTGGATGCTGGTGGTGAGTTGTCGAACCCAACGAATACATTCCGAAGTCGGATGGGGTGACGGATTAGGGTGCCCCTCTAGCAGGGGAGAGCAGGGACTGCCCCGGGAAAGGGGGCCGCTGGCGAAGTTAACCACCCTGTAACAACATACATACATCCGTACAACCGCCAAGCACCGTACGCGCGCTTCCGTGCACACACGTGGTCAGAGCGCGCTACCCCTTCACCCCTTTCAACCACCCACCCCTCAGTGCCGCACACCACGCGCTCTCAGACGTATCCGTACAGTGCAACACTCTCTGCGGTCAACCGATTACGTCCACGGGGTTCTATACGGCGCCGTACCGTACCGTACCGTACGGCACCACATCCGCCCAACCGACTAGCCATTAGCAAGCCAAAAAGCGACATCCACAAGAGTCGCCTTTTCGTCTTAAAAACTCTCCAGAAGGCGGTTCCCTCCGGTTCCCTTCGTTCAGTCTCCAGAATGCGGCCATGCTAATACTACCACCACCAACATTGCTTTCAACGCAGCTAAGACTGCGACCCCCCTAAGATGTAGCAGCTGTAGTTCCAAAGGTACATGGGTAGGGACCACGAGTCCCCCTACCGCCTGCGCCTCCTCGCTGCACCAGGCCGCAGCACAGAAGCACAACTTCTGGCCGCCCGTGCTTTAAAAACCGCGACATCGGACACGCTGGATGGTTATATGGCATAGAATATGCTTGTTGTGGCCAACGAAATTTCGGTTACACCAGAGCTAAAAAAGCGCTGCTGCTGCTGCTGCTGACGGCGCTGTGTGCACAGCCCGCCACATTCGTACACCTCCTTCCCAAACCCCCACAACACCCCTCCAGGTGCCACACACGCAACAATTTCACACGTACGGCACATGCACGTACACATAAGGAAAGCCCTGGCTCGCGTCAGGTCCGGTCCGAAGATGCAATACACACACACACAGACACGCACACACACAGACACACAGAGAAAAGCACACACACACGCACACGCATGCGCGCAGAGACCACACCAGCACCAAAACCCGCCCCCCCCGTGCTTCTTCTGCATGGAGCGAGAGGATGAACAGCCACCTGGCCCGGGGAACCTCACACGCCTGGTAAACAATTACCCTCTTACAAACGACTACCCTCAGCTAAACCCCCCGTGTCACAGCACCTCCTCCTCGTTCCCCCTTTCCCCCGCCTCTTCCCCCTCCTTCCCAATAAAGCCCCCCACTACACAACAATCCTTGCACCGTGAAGGGCCCACCAAGCTCCAGCTGGCAACCAACAAACAAAGGAGCGAGGCCGGTGCGGCGCATGCCGGACAGGAGCTAGCAGGTGACTGGGCAGGTAGCGTGTGTGAGCCTTGCTGACGGGGGGCCCG